AAATAGGTGGTAAAAAAGGTGGACGCAGGTAAACTTTTTTAGGGTTATGTACCAGGTGGCAATTGGGTGACGTTGGGGTATCGATTCCCCCCTGGTCCGCCCTCCGAGGTGGATCTGGGCGGGAAAATGATGTCGAGCAAAACTATGGAAAAGCACTGGAAAAAAATGAAGGTTTCTGGGTGAAGAGTCTGTGGGTGAAAAGTATATGGGTGAAAAGTATGTGCAAGAAGGGTTTCTGGGTGCAGAGTCTCTGGGTGAAAAGTATATGGGTGAAAAGTATGTGCAAGAAGAGTTTCTAGGTGAAGAGTCTCTGGGTGAAAAGTATTCTCTGGGTAAAAAGTATATGGGTGAAAAGTATGTGCAAGAAGAGTTTCTGGGTGAAAAGTATGTGCAAGAAGAGTTTCTGGGTGAAGAATCTCTGGGTGAAAAGTATAAGTGTATGTGCAAGAAGAGTTTCTAGGTGAAGAGTCTCTGGGTGAAAAGATGTGAAAACTATATGGGTGAAAAGTATGTGCAAGAAGAGTTTCTGGGTGAAAGTATATGGGTGAAAAATATGTGCAAGAAAAAAAATTGGGTGAAGAGTCTCTTTGTGAAAAGTATATTGATGAAAAGTATGTGCAAGAAGAGTTTCTGGGTGAAGAGTCTCTGGGTGAAAAGTATGTGCAAGAAGAGTCTCTGGGTGAAAAGTATATGGGTAAAAAGTATATGGGTGAAAAGTAAAATTGAGGCTCCGATGTGGGACCATATTATGTGCAAGAAAAGTTTCTGGGTGAAGAGTCTCTAGGTGAAAAGTATATGGGGGAAAAGTTTGTGCAAGAAGAGTTTCTGGGTGAAGAGTCTCTGGGTGAAAAGTCTGTGCAAGAAGAGTTTCTGGGTGAAGAATCTCTGGGTGAAAAGTATATGGGCGAAAAGTATGTGCAAGAAAAAAAATTGGGTGAAGAGTCTCTTTGTGAAAAGTATATGGGTCAAAGTCTGTGCAAGAAGAGTTTCTGGGTGAAAAATCTCTGGGTGAAAAGTATATGGGTGAAATGTATTGAAGAGTCTCTGGGTGAAAAGTATGGTGGAAAATAGGGGTAGATGGGATGCTGGCAATGGAGGGGAAAATGATGAGAAAAACAATAGAAAAAATGAGGGAATATGACAGACAACAATGTGAAAAAAATGGGAAAGGAGGGGAAAATGATGAGAACAACAATGGAAAAAAGGAGGGACTTTGACATAAAACAATGGAAAAAAATAGGAAAGCAATGGAAACGGTGGAAAGAATAGGGAGAGGGTAACATGATGCCAAGTAAAATTGAGGCTCCGATGTGGGACCATTATTGGTAAAGTTTACGGCGTCAAGCATGCGTGAAACATTGGAAAAGCAATGGAAAACTTGCTGTTTCGATGTGTGACCACTATGAAGAGTTTCTGGGTGAAGAGTCTCTAGGTGAAAAGTATATGGGTGAAAAGTTTGAGCAAGAAGAGTTTCTGGGTGAAGAGTCTCTGGGTGAAAAGTCTGTGCAAGAAGAGTTTCTGGGTGAAGAGTCTCTGGGTGAAAAGATGTGAACAGTATATTGGTGAAAAGTATGTGCAAGAAGAGTTTCTGGGTGAAGAGTCTCTGGGTGAAAAGTATATGGGTGAAAAGTAGGTGCAAGAAGAGTCTTTGGGTGAAAGTATATGGGTGAAAAAAATGTGCAAGAACAGTTTCTAGGTGAAGAGCCTCTGGGTGAAAAGTATATTGGTGAAAAGTATGTGCAAGAAGAGTTTCTGGGTGAAGAGTCTCTGGGTGAAAAGTATATGGGTGAAAAGTATGTGCAAGAAGGGTTTCTGGGTGAAAAGTATATGGGTGAAATGTATGTGCAAGAAGAGTTTCTAGGTGAAGAGTCTCTGGGTGAAAAGTATATGGGTAAAAAGTATATGGGTGAAAAGTATGTGCACGAAGAGTTTCTGGGTGAAGAGTCTCTGGGTGAAAAGTCTGTGCAAGAAGAGTTTCTGGGTGAAGAATCTCTGGGTGGAAAGTATATGGGTGAAATGTATTGAAGAGTCTCTGGGTGAAAAGTATGGTGGAAAATAGGGGTAGATGGGATGCTGGCAATGGAGGGGAAAATGATGAGAAAAACAGTAGAAAAAATGAGGGAATATGACAGACAACAATGGGAAAAAAATGGGAAAGGAGGGGAAAATGATGAGAACAACAATGGAAAAAGGAGGGACTTTGACATAAAACAATGGAAAAAACAAATTGGAAAGCAATGGAAACGGTGGAAAGAATAGGGAGAGGGTAAAATGATGCCAAGTAAAATTGAGGCTCCGATGTGGGACCATTATTGGTAAAGTTTACGGCGTAAAGCATGCGTGAAACAATGGAAAAGCAATGGAAAACTTGCTGTTTCGATGTGTGACCACTATGGAGTAGAAGCACAGAAAAAAAACATGGAAGAAACGAGGAAAACCGTTTATACGGTGCAACTGTAGGGATTGTGGAAGGTGCATTTGGGTAAGCGTTAGACACCCAGCTGCCCCAAAAGTACCCAGCTCTGTCGACACAACAAAATACCCAGCTTGGAGTCTTTTTGTCGACATCCCTTGGCTTTTGGGACATGGGACAGCATGGGACCACTATAAAATGGAAATTTTTTTTCCATCCTACCCTAAAATACCCAGCTGCCCCAAAAATACCCAGCTCTGTCGACAGGACATAGGACAGCATGGGACCACTATAAAATGGAAAACTATCTCCATCCCACCCAAAAAAATACCCAGCTGCCCCAAAATACCCAGCTCCGTCGATACCAGTCTTTTTGTCGACATCCCTTGGCTTTTGGGACATGGGACAGCATGGGACCAATGGAAAACTACCAGAAAATAAGTCTTGGTCTTTGTGTCAGCATCCCTTGGCTTTGGGACGTGCCGGGCTAAAGAAAAATGTGGTGTCTTTGGGGCGATGATGGTGGGAGGATGTGGGAAGGCTGCGGCACTATAAAATGGAAACCCCCAACCCCAGGAAATCCTACCAGGAAGGGCATGTAATCTCTATAAAATCAGAGCACCCAACCCCTCAAAAAACCATTCATTTTTGGATGTTGTAAGATACAGGGGGTTGAGGGTTCCTATTCTATAGTAGAAAGTTGGCTAGTTCCTTCATTTTAAGGCTAGGCTCCAGGGTACGTTGGGGCCTCCCATTTTATAGTGATGGAGGGTTTTGCAGTAAATTTGTAGCTGTAAATATTTGCTTTCCCAAATAATTCTCTTATTTTATAGAGGTGCACCTGTTTTGTGACCTTGGGTGTTTCCATTTTATAGAGGTCCCACTCCGGGGGGGGATGGGTGCCCCCGTTTTAGTACTATAAAATGGGGGCACCCAACCCCCCCACTTAATCTAGTAGGGGATGTGAAAAGTATATGGGTGAAAAGTATGTGCAAGAAGAGTTTCTGGGTGAAGAGTCTCTGGGTGAAAAAATGATGTGCAAGAAAAGTTTCTAGGTGAACGAGTCCTCTGGTGAAAAGTATATTGGAAAAGTATGTGCAAGGAAGAGTTTCTGGTGAAGAGTCTCTTGGTGAAAAGTATATGGGGTGAAAAGCATGTGCAAGAAGAGTCTCGGGTGAAAAGTATATGGGAAAAAGATTCAAAATATATGGGTGAAAAGTAAAATTGAGCTCCGATGTGGGACCATTATAATGTGCACGAAGAGTTTCTGGGTGAAAGAGTCCCCTCTAGGTGAAAGTATCATGGGTGAAAATTTTGATCACGAAGAGTCTCTGGGTGAAAAGTATATTGGTGAAAAGTATGTGCAAGAAGAGTTTCTGGGTGAAGAGTCTCTGGGTGAAAAGTATATGGGTGAAAAGTATGTGCAAGAAGCGTTTCTGGGTGAAGAGTCTCTGGGTGAAAAGTATATGGGTGAAAAGTAGGTCCAAGAAGAGTTTCTGGGTGAAGAGATTCTGGGTGAAAAGTCTGTGCAATAAGAGTTTCTGGGTGAAAAGTAAATGGGTGAAAAGTATGTGCAAGAAGAGTTTCTGGGTGAAGAGTCCCTGGGTGAAAAGTATATGGGTGAAAAGTATCTGCAAGAAGAGTCTCTGGGTGAAAAGTATATGGGTGAAAAGTATGTGCAAGAAGAGTTTCTGGGTGAAGAGTCTCTGGGTGAAAAGTATATGGGTGAAAAGTATGTGCAAGAAGAGTCTCTGGGTGAAAAGTATATGGGTGAAAAGTATGTGCAAGAAGAGTTTCTGGGTGAAGAGTCTCTGGGTGAAAAGTATATGGGTGAAAAGTATGTGCAAGAAGAGTCTCTGGGTGAAAATTCTGTGCAAGAGAGTTTCTCTGGTGGAAGAGTCTCTGGGTGAAAAGTATATGGGTGAAAAGTATGTGCAAGAAGAGTTTCTGGGTGAAGTTTCTGGGTGAAAAGTAAATGGGTGAAAAGTATGTGCAAGAAGAGTTTCTGGGTGAAGAGTCCCTGGGTGAAAAGTATATGGGTGAAAAGTATCTGCAAGAAGAGTCTCTGGGTGAAAAGTATATGGGTGAAAAGTATGTGCAAGAAGAGTTTCTGGGTGAAGAGTCTCTGGGTGAAAAGTATATGGGGGAAAAGTAGGTGCAAGAAGAGTCTCTGGGTGAAAGTATATGGGTGAAAAATATGTGCAAGAAAAGTTTCTAGGTGAAGAGTCTCTGGGTGAAAAGTATATGGGTGAAACGTATGTGCAAGAAGAGTCTCTGGGTGAAAAGTATATGGGTGAAAAGTATGTGCAAGAAGAGTTTCTAGGTGAAGAGTCTCTGGGTGAAAAGTATATGGGTGAAACATATGTGCAAGAGAAGTTTCTAGGTGAAGAGTCTCTGGGTGAAAAGTATATTGGTGAAAAGTATGTGCAAGAAGAGTTTCTGGGTGAAGAGTTCTGGGTGAAAAGTATATGGGTGAAAAGTCTGTGCAAGAAGAGTTTCTGGGTGAAAAATCTCTGGGTGAAAAGTATATGGGTGAAATGTATTGAAGAGTCGCTGGGTGAAAAGTATGGTGGAAAATAGGGGTAGATGGGATGCTGGCTTTCGTTCCCCCCTTCTCAGGTATTATGCATCGTTTTTTTTCTTTCGGCCTTCTTCAATTTGTGTGCGTTCCCCAAAACCAGCAAACAGAATGTGGGCTGGGGGTGGGATGATCACAAGGGCAGTGACTCAGCATCCACACCCCAATTCTGTGGCTCTACTGCCTTATGAACCCGTGCATGCGCAGACCTTTGAACCACCCAAATCTGTGGTTTCACGACCATTGAAATACATGGCTTTGCAGGCCTGTGAACCCAACTCTTTGGGGCCCGAGGACACCTGTCTGTTTGAGGTGTTCGCCTGTCCTGGCATTCCTTTCTTTGAAGCTTATTGACACCTTGCCAGGTTACATTCTCTCAACATTTTTTTTACTTGGGACTGAGACTTGCAAAAACCCTCACTATTGACCGCTGCGGAAGCCACATAGCCAGTACCTCTCTAGCATCTAATCTATACAGTTCTAACTGTAATTAGCAGAACAAGTGCGCTTCCCCATGGGTCTACACATGTCTACACCAGGTTTCATACTGTTGCCTGAATTTGAGGGTATAGATATAGAGCTGCTCCATCCATCCAAGCCTGCAAAGCATTTCCCGTGGAGCATGGAAACCGCACAGTTGGAGACCAGTAGCAGCACCAACCACCGAAGGTTCCAGCCTACGAGCCGTGCCAGGACGCATGGCTGGATTCATTGCTCAGTCTTGGAGCCCTCTGGGGAATTGTTGCGCAGTGTTCGCCTTGTAGCCTTGTATAGGAAGTACAGGATAGCCAGTATGGAGGACATGCTGGATGAATGTGTCATAGTTTCATCGCCATGCCCAAAGCATGATACTGACTGCCAAGAGGCCGGAAAAACGTGTGACTGGTTGAAGTTGAGCCAACGGGTCAAACTCAGGCCCCTGAGCATTTAGGACCATTCTAGGACTATTTGGCAGCTGCGCTTATTAAATCATTACCTGTACACCTGCATAGGATGACACCTCACCCTGCGAAAACCTTGCCTGCAATGATATTCGAAGTTTTCAGGGAGTGAGGCAACTAGGGTTATCAAAACACGCTTTGCCACAAAGCAAGATGAGGCATCAGACAAGGCAAACATTTGATTCAACCTACCATTATGATCCATTTTTATGTTTGTGCTAGAACCGCTGCACAGGCCAAACTCCGTGTTGTTTGGACAAGGATACCAACTGCACGGCGAGACGCCACCCGAGTCGAATACAGAATACGGGACAAGGGCTTCAAGTCAAGAGTTCATTCTGGCCAATGCAAAGCTCTCAGAGCGGGATTGTCCGCCAAAATGTCCTTTCCTCGGCCAGCCAGATGCTCCTTTGAGTCAATATGAGCCAATGCCTCCTTATATTTACACATTTTTGCACTGAAGCACAGGCAGTTTGCATGGTGGGTTTGAATAGCAGGTTGCATAGGAACCTCATAAAACCTAGAAATACTGTGGATATTTCGAGCAAAAGGATTCGGAGCTTGGACAAAGCAAACCGCAGGATGCCCAAGCCTCCCAAAGGCTTGGCAAAGGCTTGGGTGCTATTGAATTAGTGGCTTGCTGTAGGCAGCAAAGCACCGGCATGTGGAATCTCAGCGGAGCCATCGCAAACTGTTGATATCTCGACGTCGAAAGTGCAGACGTAGGTCCACTATATATGGTCCACTTGGACGAGCTTGGACATGACTTCAGGGGGTGGCCGTCCTGTCCATGGACTGCTTGCTTTGATCTTGACTGTCAAGCTTAGACGCTTGTTTGAAAGGCCCTATACAGTTACCGGGGCAGTCGCAAATTGTGAAAATAGTTGAACATGCATGCTGTTGAGGATTGATGCAGGAGTTTCTGATTTTCCGAGACTGGAACCGAGTGGCTGCGTGAAAAAGTGCGTGCTTGAATCGGTCAGACTGCGACTGAATCGGTCAGACTGCGACGCTAGGAACCATTTTGTGCGTTTGGCAGGCGGCAACGCTGAGTAACAAGACAATCAGCAATAATGTCTTCACGATGTTCTTTCTGTTTTTTCCCATAGATCATGTTGTGAATATGGAGGCTGCAGATGGCTGCAGTTCATTTTCACTCGTCCACAACATACCACACGGTCTTCATGCAGCTCTTTCTTGGACGGCTGATCGAATTTAAAGTGGTGGCTAGAGTTGTCGCAACATAGGTAGAAGTATTGACTTTGTCACAAACAGCAAAGTTGTTGTAGCAAAGGTGTTTGATCATGTTTTGTTTCGGACCCGGTAGACGACTTCCTGGACTTGTGGTGTTTTCAAGAATGAAATGAGCTAGGGAAAAAAGACCCAACATGATCCTAAATATATATTAAATGTATTGTTTAACCACGCGGTTCAAAGATTCGAACAGAGACGCAGAAAAAATAAGACGACTGCTTGTTGGACTCAGCACTGCGATCAACTCAACAACTCACAGGATCTTACAGGAAGATACAAACACTTTACCCTCCCCTCAATTAAGATAGACCCTGAAAATCACACATTTTCTGTTGAGAATAATCTTCCAACATCTTCCAACTCCCTATTTGGCCTATTTAGCAAAGTCTGTGTGAATTTGGGGGAGGGTAAGTCTGGCAGAACCTGGCTGATCGGAGCGACAGTCCAGAAAGATGAATGCCAATGACCTATATACTTCTCAAAAAACACGCGTAGACCCCTATCTCAGACAAACATATTGCCATATTGCAAACATTTAACAATCAATATCATCACAAATTACTTTGAACTTCTAACTATATATATAAAATATTATATTATGATTTTTCACCAACCGCCAGCCACAAGCCGATGACGCCGGAAAAAGCTCAGCAGGCGCTTCACAGATCTTCACAGTGGCAGGGGAGCCGCTACCACTGTGGCTGTCACCAGCCAGGAGGTGAACATCCTTTTGGGTTTCCTCGCCTCCTACGTGCTAAGGGCCTTCACGAGCTCAGCCGAGGCGGGTCCCATGATGCTTGTGCTTACTGGGAGTGGGATATCCCATGGTTGGTTTGGAAAACCATAGGAAAACCATAGGAAAACCATAGGAAAATGGTGGTTTAATGGGATATGATGGGATATGACATGTGACATGACTATACGAACTGCGGTTTAAAGCCAAAGATACGTACAGTAATCTGACCTCTGCAATATTGGAACCCGGATACACCCACCCACGGAGGCCAGGAACACAAGTAGCACACTTCATCCGTGTTGCACCCGCCAACACGCACATAGCTGCTGTGCTGCATTGATAGCTTGGGACACCACTTTGTGAGCCGTTGGCTTAAGCGAAAAAACTTGTGAACTTTTGCTTGACCTTTGAGATTTCAACTTGACAAGTGTGTTTTCCTGTTGTGATGGTCAACCCGTGTTTCAAGTTCACGACTTTTCTTGCTGTGTAATAATTGCTGGTCGCCTGGCATGAAATTAGTGGAGAGAAGTCTTGCAGTAGCCACACTTTGAACAGATGAGCACAGCATTTCGAAAAGGGCTGCAAATGGAGATCGCGCGCGTGCTTTTATTGACGCTCCTACTGGGGGTTGCTGCGGGTGTTTCCGATGAAGATTCCGACACTTTGCTGAGAAGATCTCCACCTCTTGGGGGCCAATGAAGAGAAGTAATGGGAAGTATGATTTTGCTCTGATATGCTATGATTGTGCCGAATATGTATGATGATAAAACATGAAACAACATGATATAAACGATATATATTATAGTATGTGTAGATTAGACACCCATATTATCCCGTATCATTGATTATCATTGCTTATTATGTATGTTACATATTGTTACATAATAGTGTGGTAAAATCATAAGATGTGGTGCTCTGAGCTCTGTATAATTCTGTATATATAAGGATACAGATTCACGGAGCAACCCCTGAAGTACCAGCACACTGCCAATTTGTCCCAGTCCGTCACGACCTTCATACACAAACCAATCAATGAACGCAATGACTCTGGACCTATCATGACATATCTAGACTACATGAAAAGTTGAAGAAAATATGTTTTTGTGCACAGCCCAAGTGGCCAGGAACGATGCGCAGATCAGATTGAGACAAAGATGGGACAGCTGGCAGAGAAGCAAAACCAAGGCGACCTCAAAGCCTTCTTCAAAAGCTACGATAGAAACTCTGCCAGTGCCGCTGGGACGGCCCCGGAGGGTTGAACGTACGACCGTGACATGCTGTTGATTATACAGTCCACGGTGGATCACGGTGGAATATCAACTGTGGTTTGGTGATTAATTAGAGATCAAAGAGGCCCATGGAGAGCATCTATTGCTGAGTATTTCACGAGAGTCATGAGTCCATTCAATTCCATTCACAGTCGACAATCGATGGCCCCCATACTTGTCAACCTGGGTATTGGACGTCTAAGGTTTACTACATTAATCATCGTGAATCAATGTTCCAATTCAAATTCATGACATGTCTAACTGCAGAATCAAGCAAGGTATGCCAAGTCTAGTTTGGTTCAGAAATTAGTCGCGGAATTCCTGAGCGCATGCTGCCTTGCAAAAAGACAACCTTCACCCAATGATCATCCCCTATGTGAGTTAACACCAATGTAGAATGTGCGCCATATAGGCAGTTCTCCTAAACCTTTTCCTTGGAACTTAGTTACTCTCTGCTGATTGTTCGGTGATCGCCGTTTGCAGGCAAGTAGGGAAACTTGGGCCTTTCGTTGTGATATCAAAAATGCGAAGGCAACGCAAGCTCAAAAGGGGCGCCCAAAATGAAGGCAACAATCATTTTTGACGGGTAAAAAATGGCAAAACCATGCAAAACCAGAATTGTGTATGACTTTGCGAAGGGTTGACTTAGTTCATTGTGGTTCATGATTCATGAGGGAGTTTGAAATGCGTCACTTTTCCGAATGCAATATTGTTTGATTATTTTTGGGAAACAAGGACTGCAGTAATACTGCAGTATTCGAAATGATGTAACGTCCCATAGAGCGCTTGGCTCCTGATTTGATATACTGACCCTACCGACGTGAAAGATGAGGAAATGGTGATGGTGAGATGCAGGAGGAAGAAGTCACAGAGGCCTCATGTTGCAGATATTTGCAGATATAATGATGGCCCGGATGCTTCACATGCTGGGGACATCTTGGGACACTTGTACATTGTCCAGGTTCTGCGGACAATATCATAAGTATACAGTATTCATAAGTTGCTTGTAGGTGCTGCAAGCAACAGGATAGTCACTGACTCTTCAAATCAGATGTGCACTGGATTTGGAATCCAAAGGATACTGGTAGTTGCGATCAGGTTCATTTACATATCTTATGATCTAGATTAGACGTGATTCGACCAGGATTCTGCATTTTGCTGCAGTCAGCCAGATACTAGCAATCTCAAACAGTATATATAATATGTTTTTTCATGATGTGGCTTGTGCACCTTGAAGGCAATGAGAGCTGCAGGAATCAGTGATGATTGTCACTTTGCCTCTGATATGATCCTGCACCTGGATAAGAATGGACGCTTTCTCAGCACTGGGAGAATCTACCTGAACACTGCCAGGTGGTGTTCACTGCTCTTGAAAGGTTTTGAATTCGCTCAGTTTGTTCAACTCTAGTGAACCTTTAGTATCCTTTAACTTTATATTAGTGTCAAAACATGTTTCCATGGTTTCACCCTTCTCCCTCGCAGGATGCTCAAAGTCAGGTTTCAAACGACTCGATGAGCATGTTGTGTCCGGAGTATATTCGGGTGTCCACATTTGTATTCTGTCATTAATCCAAAGGACTCACTGTGTCAGTTTCACATTCCAGAGGAACTTCACGTAGTTTTCAATGTGGTGGAAACACGGCCAAGTAGTTGTGTGATTGTGCCGGTTTTTCGGGCGCTTATGATGCGCGAATGCCTCGTCAAGGAGACAAGATGTTGCACTACAGCGAGCTTTGATGGATGTTCACTTCCCGCAAACATCCTGACAGGTTGAGACCTGTCAGGGGTGTGATTAGGGAACACCTCCACGCACTGTAGTTTGACAGATTTGTTTGGCGGGAAAAAGGAGGCAACTCCGAAACTCGTAGCTGTTTTACCAAGTAAAGGACAACAGGTTGGTTTATGACTTATAACTTATAACTTATAACATCAAAAAATAACCTATGACATCTTATGACTATACACAGCTGACCTGCGTTGTTTATGGGCAGAAGCCACCAAATCTGTTGATGGAAGCTTAGTCGCTTGTGCGAAAGAGCACATGACTGGAACATCTCTGGAATCTAGCAGAGATTTGAGAGAAATGAAATAGTTTGGAGATGTTTGGAGCATTTGGAAAGTGAAAAAATCTGAGATTTTGCCCAGTTTGCGCTGAGAAGTTGCATCTGAATGCATTTGATCTGATTATTATTGGTGATGTTTTGTAAGCCAATGTAAGCCAATATATATGTAATTCTCGCCATGCTTGGGAAGCTGCTTGGACGACGAAGAACTTGTCTGCAAAGTATATAAGCATCAACGTGCTGTTGTCAGTGTGCAAACGCCAGATTTATCATATTTTTGCAGCACTTAACCTGTTTGAGATACCTCGTAGCTTATCGTTTGAATATTCTATGATCTTTTCTGGCATTTTGTGAGCGATTTGCCACGGCAACGCGTCGACCAAAGGGGCGCTGCATGCAGCGTGGAGGCTTGGCTTCGACGCGCCTGCCACATTTGTGTTTGCGGACGAGGTGCTGGCGAGGCGGATTCCAGTGGGAATGAGGCAAAATTTGGATCAATTTCTCGTTCTATGTTCTATCCCGAAAAATATTCCTTATTCTCTTGATTTTCGGGATGGTCACTAGGGTATCAAGGTTTCGAGACCAGAACACCCAGAGGTTTTTTGGGTCCAGTGAATAGTGAAAAGGTGACAAGGGGTTGACAAAATGTGCTTCCGAATTGTTCTTTGCGCAGGGAGCAATCCTGGCAAGCGAGCGTGGCTTGGGATGGCGAGAGGCGTGCCCAAAAAATTCTACCCGGTGCGAGACGAGTCTCTAAACTTGAGTTGCTCTCCTTCGGTGTATTGATTTTGTTCATGTTGAGCTTCCATATATGATGGATCCATATTTATGAGTCCATAGATGGATGTTTCTGAAAAAAACAGGGGTAATAGTAATGTTAGTAAAGCATAGTAAAGCAACAATAAACCAGTAACCAGCCATATGTTGATGGCACAAAAAGCGTCAATGTATGGTAAAATATGTATAAATATGTAATTTTGGGGATGCTTTACTGTTGCTTTATAAAGATTACCCCATACCTTGAAGCACCATGGGTTTCCCCAACCGCACTGTAGGCCAAGGTGAGGTTGGACGCCAGCGATGAGGTCCAACTCATTTGCTTGGCAGCCGTGAGGCGCCCCATTTAAGGGGATATTTGGTGGGGATATTTGGGGCTATCCGCCCCACACCCCCAAAATTGTCATTTTATGTCACTTTTGTCCGGCCTTACACCCAGTTTTCGAATATTTGGTGAGAAAATGGATGAACGTGGCCGTGGTGTTAATATGTGTTAATATATGTGTTAATCGGCATCCATTTGGGCCAAAGCGTATTTCCAGACAAACCTGCAAATGCGAAGTGTATGGAATGGTCCAGTCCAATGAGTCTACTTTGATCTGATTGAGATATTGGGGTTCTGGCTTCAGCGTGTCAGGGTCAAAACGACAAATCGAAGAAACTTGCATTTGTGAAGATGTTGTGGTAGAAATACAGGTGACACGCAACGACTGTATGTGTCATGTGAGTTCAATGTGTATGTATTTTGCATATGCGGGCCCCTGTTGTTTGAGTACAAAGTTTGTTCTAGCCACAAGTACGGTTGGTACTTGTAATGGTTGATAGACCTTCTAAACATTTCCGAACTCTTGACATCATCATTGGTATTATTTGGGTATGTGGCCAGCGATGCCGGTGATTCGCGAGAGGCTTCTGTTCTGGCACTGGATGCAGCCAGTAGCATATGCGAAAACCTGAGGTCATCACACAGCATAGCACCATTTCCCAAGATTCCATCAGGCAGACCATATGGGTCATAACGGTCATATGTAGTTTAAAAATGTCGTGTGATTTGTGGCATATGGTGCCATGATTTTGATGGAAGGGGCATATGCTGAAGTCCACTGCCATAGCTGCGCTGAGGCTTTGCTCCTGTACAGCTGGAGCGATGATGCTTACTTTGGAAAGATGTGGAATTTGCAGGCCATGATCATCCATGGATCATTATTATATAGATCTCCATCCCTACTCTGCCTTAGTCCAATTTTTCGAGGTCCAGGAAGAAGGTGTAGGAGTGGGGAAATGGAGATTGCAGGAAGCGAAGCTGACAGTTTTGTTGAATTTGGCTGAACTTCAGCGACTTCAGGCAGTATTGGCAGCAGCGGTGCTGTTGAGGGAGGCAGGAGCTCCCAGCTGCCGAGGTTTTATTCTTTTTCGAAATATAGTGCATTCCTCTCTTGGTGCTCGCCTTGTTCACCTAGTTGTGTCATGAATCTCACATGCCACAACCCACGTGGATGACTTTTGGATACTTTTGGGGTTTGACACTTTGCTGCGCAGCTGCCAAAGTTACCTGAACTGGAATTGACCTAGACCTACCTTCCCAGCGACATCCAGGGAGTCAGACCATTTTGCGATACCATCCGATACCACCATTTGAGGCGCTCTACTTCAGCTGCACCATTTTAGCTTTGATACGTTGTCGAAATCTCAGACGTTGCCAAACAAAAACAGAATTAATAGGATGATGGTGCCTCATCGAGCCATGTTACATTCAAACAGGTCATGCTGCATTGGGAATCTTGATAAAGCACTCCTGCATCCTCTCACCAGGGAAACGATTGTAAAAGACCACATTTGGATTTCGAAAATCCAGCATGTTCATATGTATGTCAATGGGGCTTTGTGGATATTTTTCAGTGCCAGGACCATGTTGAGGTCCAAAGGAGTCCAAAGCCAAGACAGTCCATAACTCCCAGTGATGTGCCGTGAGGTCCAAGTTTTTTGCTCATCGATATTGCCGCGACATGGCGCAGCGGCGCACGGGGTGAGGCACGCGCAGCATTGGAGCGCAGTTTTCGTCATTGCTTCTCTCTGTCTGATTTGCATTGTGTCCATGCTATGTCGATCTTCAACCTGGGCCCCGTTCTTGCATGTGTTTGCAAGATTGTTTTTTATGTATCAACTAATTTTGCATGGTATGGAGTCTGGAATGCGTGGATCATCCACTTTTGAAAGTCTTATGATACATTGATATAGCATTTCCAATGCCTACCTGGCCAACGTCCATTTTTTACGATTTTTTTACGAGCTGAGAAGTGTTGTTTGTTCCCACAGGGTCCCGTGTTTTCCACATGTCAGGCATTTTCATGCGTTATGATGCCAGAGAAGTTTTTAGGTCGCAGGCTCATTGAAATGGTTGACTCGTAGATGTTGGCTACTGTAGTCACAATGAAACAAACTCTGATGTTGCACAAGTTTTACCTGTTCTTGAAATGTTGAATTGATGTATATACGTATATTGATGTCTTGAGGTGTGAGGAAATTTGTATTATATGAACAACTTTGGCCATTGAGATGGTGGACCCAGGTTGGTACATGCAGGGTGCAGCGCCAACTGCAACTGCCATCAGGCGCCTAAAAGGCTTCATTCATGAGCACTCGCAAGAGACAAGAGATTTGGCTGACTTCGCGAGGCGCTTTAACAGCTACTGCGGAACCATCTTGCTTTTGGATGGCTGCAGTTTTGTAGCGCTTTGGGCTGGCATTTCAGGCCAGGGCTTCGCAGGAGTCTCTCTCCAGTCAGTTCCCTTGTACAGTTTGTGTTTAGATTTGTATGGATAGAAGTTATAACTATTGAATGCAGGGCTCACAAAATTGCGAATCTCATCCAGGATCAAAAAAACAAGAGGAAGGTCACAGTGTACTGTAATGATGACGCAAACGTGAACATCATGGCTATATAATGGTGTTTGATTGCCTTTAACCATCATGGCATATCAATGCATATCATAGCTATGTATATAATGTGAATAATATCCACTTCCAGGCTATGCTTTGATGGTTGTTGTAGTGATCATCAACAAACCCCCATGAAATCAGTGAGGCTGGACAACACGACCGCCTGTGCCACTCATGGTTTGCTATTCCGTGACGGCTGCAAGACAAGCTGGCATGTTTGTTCTCTGCGGCAAAGAGAAATTGTAGAATTACCTGTCCGCGCAGAGTTTGGAGAATTGTTGTCAAGACGTGTCAAGACATTGTGGGGTCAAGTTGCTTGAGAAGGATATTGTGTTGCCAATGTGTTTGGGTGCCGCTGCCGATAGGTTTTATGGCCATTCCTTGTTGGGCTACGGCAATTCTTTTAGCCCGCTCGGCAGGCGAGCGTGAGAAGCGCATGGTGTGCTGGAGTGTTTAGTATTTTGTCCAAGATAACTTGGTGTCAGAGGTCTGTATTTCTTGTATTGGGTTCATTTCAAATGTCGAGATATATATTTATGCAGACCCTCCGGTAAAACCATGGCTTGCAAGAAGCAGGCGCCTTTATATCAATAGGATGGTATTGATCCTGCAGGGTTCTGTTTGGTGTGAATACCAGCAGGATGTTCTACATCCAGAACAGCATGAAGCGGGAAGGAATTTATGGCATTTTATGGTCACCTTGCAAGATGTGTCTCAGGCATACTTCCCGGAGAAGGAGCGTATCAGCATGTTCTTGCGTTTTGGTGCTGGGATTGGTGCCACATATAGGTACAATACAGAGACATGAACAATTCATCGATGAATTGTCTTCGATTGAAAGATCTTTGCATTCTTCAATTATTGACAATATCCATTGATGTAATTTCAGTTAATCTTGACGTGTAGAAATGCATATAGTTGGTTTGACTGAGATACTATAAATTTAAAGATGCGACAGGACGCCGCAATGATAATGATGCCTTGGATATTCCCCTGGGACATATTCCTCCGGATTAAAATCTATAAATCTAATTTAAATTAATATGAAATATTATGAAATAATATAATATAAATTATAGATTTGAATATAAATATATTGATATGTTGATTTATATTATATATATTTTCTTGTAAAATCTATACGGTAACGACATTTAAATATGTGGAGGGCGGGCCAAACCGCGAGGCCCCGGAGGTAGTATGAAATACCAGTTCGTATATTTAAATGTAGTTACAGTATGTTATAGTATGTTTAAATGAATTGGATTCCGTATGTTTAAATTGCTGGGCGGACCAAGGAAAATTTTCCCGGAGGTAGTCTAAAATACCTGTTCGT